CAAAAAGGAGTTTGTTAGTATTTGACAAAATAACTCGAGCCCCTGCCCCTTTTGTCTCAACATTAGTAGCACCCTTTAGGATGAGCTCTAAAGCTGCTTTTCCACTGCATAGTACTGGCTCGACTCGACTCGCTTTTGGTATCAGCTATTTCGTGATGATGAGATGATTCTGGTCATTCAAAAAAAGAGACACAAGAGGCTACGCTAACCTGGTAGCTAACATTAGCATATGTGTTTTGCAATTCTCTCCGACAAATCAGTAATATGTGTGTGTAGCTTTTTTACGCTCCTTTTGGTATCGGCTCAGCTCGCTTGGAACCTCGAAGGAGATGGTACCAAATAAGTACCGGGTACCAACGTTTGCCAAATGGAAAACCAAAAAAAAGGCGAGTCGAGTCGAGTTGAGCCGGTACCATGCAGTGGAAAAGCACCTTAAATGCATTTAAGGACAGGACAGGCATAGTTTGGTTGTGTCTGTAGATTTATTAGAGGGCTTTAACCCCTTACATGGCCTAAGTTGTATTACACACTTCTATAACCTAAGAATAGCTCAACTAGTTTGCATTGAAGTCCCTGTAGTTACTACATAATAAGTCTCAGTATGTAATAATCCTGGGATTTTAAGGGGAAAAACACCAGCCTGATCACCCTTTTTTACCTGCCACTTCCAGTCTATGTTAAATGAAGCTTCATGGCATTATAATTTAGTATTATACATGATTTTGACCAAAGCTTGCTGGTTGCTGGCTTGCAGGTTGACCATTGAAGTATGTCGTTGTCCTACTTACATGTTTCAAAGAACACCAAGAAAGGAGAAAAACAAGGCTAGTTGTCATAACCACCAAGCCACAATGCTGTACTTTGGAAAATGCTAACAGTGTTTGGATGATTGACAAATTTTTGCTTGTGTTAGTCAAAAAACTCTTACCACCTCGGGTACCACAGTCACTCCTGATTGAACGAATGACCAATGCAGTGTTATGCCGATTTAAAGTCTGACTACTGCTAGAAAAATAAAAAAGCCCTTTCAATATTTGCAGATTAACCTAAATGTTTATTTATTTCAAGTCAGTCTGTAAAGCATTTCACAGCCCATTTTGTCTGCCGAATTGCGTTTTTGTTCATTTCTGGCCTATTCTAGTTTGTTTTCTGACTGAAAAGCTTGCCTGGGGCAGCGACAGGTTCAGAATGATGCAGGCCTGCTGTCACTCTTCTGCAGAATCTAGCCGAACTGGCTGCAGGTTAAATATCATCTTATAAGAGTTATTTACTGTATTCATTTTCCTGTTTTTGTGTGTGTTAAAGCAGAAACTTGATAACAGTTGGCTGCGGCATAAAGCAAGCCATTACTTATTTATAGTTTTGGTGTCCACAATGATTCTAAAATGAGAAAAATACTAAAAATAAGGGAAACCCTATGTTCTATGGGTAGACATGTCCAAACCTTTGACTTGTAGTTAAAATATCTACAGTCAGCTCCGTATTATTGGCACTCTTAATAAAGATGGGTAAAAAAAAGGTCATGAAAAAAATGTCTGTGGTTAATTAGCTCAATATCAGACTCAAAATATAAATGATAAATAAATGAGAAATCCAAGGTTTTACTGAGCTAAATGTGGTCTAAAAAACAAAAAAGTTTGTGTCCCAATTTTTGGCACATGTAACCGAACACACCCCCATTTACATTTCACCTTTTGAGTCATCTCTACCAAAGCTACTAAGTGTATGTCTATTGATTTCTATTTATTGAATCTGAGTTGCTGAGCTGCTCAGTGTGTATGTATTCTGGAGTGCATATTCTTTTTTAGTACGACTGTCACATGATACTGAACACATCTTTGCTCATTGGAATGCAGGAACGTGGTTAGCTCGTGGCCTCAGTTTGCATGTTTTTAACATTTAGTGTCTGTTTTTCAACAATATTTCTTCACTTCAGATCTGAGATGAACTCAGTGCAAAGCCGATGTTTTTCATTAGTGAATTTTTCATCGTTTGGAGGGAGGCTTGCATTGAAACCATTTGCTTGGTTCTCATATAAGCTATGATTAGATTGAGCCTATAATGTTGCATGTTAATATTAAGCTTCCCTTGTTTATCAGAGTAAAGTTTTCCAGCAGGATCAACAGGATCATTTGCTGAAATGGCTGTATTTCACCTAAATGAAGAAAATCTCAGATCCCAAGTATTGTTTTTTTCTGTTTATGCATCAAAACATTCTCCTTCATCAACCGTTCTTAAGAAGAAATGACTTCTTAAAACCCACTTACATAGTTTCCATGAAGATTCTGACATTCGCCAGTGTTTTCTTATTTGGGATTTATTCTTAGGTAAGAGCAGAATCTACACACTTCAGAGCACAAAGGTGCGAACAGCTCTGCGGTTTAAGAACACGTCATGAATCTGACGTAGACTTTTTCTTAGGACCTTTCTTAAGAACAAATAAGAAAAAAACGCAGAACGATATTGGTGAATGAGGCCCAATGTTGTTACACTAATTATGTCTATATTACCATAATGGGATTCCTCTATGATGGTATTCATAGCAAGATCACACATCCTGGAAAACCTTGAACCTGGGACTTGAATTGACATGAGAATTTAGGCCCCATCAGGTCCAAACAAATATTTCAAACTCTAATACAACGCAAATCTTACAAAGTATTTACCAAAAGGCATTTTTAGATGTGTTATTCAATATTTAAAGTGCACGAGAACCGAATAAAATGGTCACTGATATCCTGTAAATGTATATTTAAATGATTTAAAATTGCTTTGAGATCTGATCATGAATTCTGGATATTAATTTTATTAGATATTAGTTTTGTTTGTATTTTATTATCACTAAGGGGTCATTAAGGGCTCCACTGTTGACTTAAAAGCTAAGGATGTTGGCAGATGCTAGTCATTCTAATATGACCTTCCATGATAAACGAATGGTATGTATTGAAGCCATGGAAAGTGTCCTGGAAAATGATTTCCTAAAAAGAGTGGACCCCCCAGTAATTCAAAGCATGGAGGAATAAAAGAAATATATCTGACCACCTGTCTAGATGTAGTCAAAGAAGAAGCCCATCACACCCAGAGCATGTTTCCTTTCATTTAATCGAAATGCTTCACACGCAATCAGCCGCTAGCCGGCTAAACATTCCCTGGGTGAATGAGAAAATAAGAAAGCAGTGAGCTGTGCAGTTCTGATGAGCTTCATGTGCTGAATTAGCCTCGCCGGGCCAGGCCTGAGCGCACGGATCAATACAGCAGCAGCAGAGCGGAGCGATGACGGAGAGCTCCATCTCCACTCTCATCACTACTCAAAACAATCAGGCGTCTGTTCATTTAGTTCAAACTCAGGATGGAAATCTGTTCCATTTTACTGATTTCAGATCAGCTTCATATAAACGCTGTCGTTAAACAAGAGACCACATGGCTGATCTGTGAATGATGGACACAGGCGGCTTCTAGAGCTCATCCCCTTATACTAGTCTTCATTTTGAAAATTAAAAGGGAGGATCTGACAATTCTATATAAAAGTTCAGAAATGTCAAATGCCAATTCCCAAATGAAGGAATAAAAAGGATCATTTTCTTGGAATTTGTTAATGTCTCTCTGGAATCTTTGCAGGCTCTGAATAAGTGAGAGACATTCTGACACACCGCTTTGAAGGTTATGATCCTAAAACAAAGACGGAGTAGAGCCATATGAGATTCCAAAAAATGTCACTTCAAATGCCAAAAGGAATGCCAAGAAGAAGAAGAATTTCCTTGGAATTTGTGGTGTTTCTCACTGAATGGGATCATTTTCTTGGAATTTGGGATTTTTTCCAAATTTGGAATTTACAATTATATTTTTGGAATCTCATATGCAGGCACCGATAAGCTGTAAGCTAATGCTCTTATTTAAAGGTTGCAATTCTGAAATTAAATAATGCAAAAAAGCTAAAAGTAGTATCATTTTCTTGGGATTTGTGATCATTTTCTTGGGAATTTTTTGCTTAACTTTGGAATTTTTGCTATTTGGGATGTTTTATTACATTTAGAATCAATTTTATAGCATTTGCAATCATATTTTCAATACGCAGCCACTGAAGAAATATTCTGATGTCGTAAGTGAAAGTGGTCATGCAAGCCAACAAAGCTCTTTTGAACTGAATGAGGAAAAGAGAGCAAGAGAGTGAGTGAGAGAGAGAGAGAGAGAGAGAGGTAGATCCACACAGTCATTTCCAGAAGGCCCTAATGTAGCTCACATGTTTGTGCAGCTGTTTCTACAATAACACTGCCAACTCGATGAAGCTCTTTTTCAAGGCTTTTTTCGACCACCGCAAAGTACATCTGAGGACTCGAAGGACATGCATTCCGCGGAGGCCAGCGCAAAGCCGCTAATGCTTCAGGCCTGTCAAAGGCATTAGTGCTTCACCACCTTTAATCAAGTCGGCAGTGTAGGTAAACAGTTAAAAAGCCTCATTTTTCAGAGCTATGACACGGCGTATTGATTAGGTTCTAAACACCGCAAGTACTTTAGCTGGCTATTTAAAATGGTATATGGGCCTGATGGTTAACAACAGACATACTCGAGTATTTAGTTGCACCTTTGTGGTTTTGAAAGTGCTATGACATCATTAAGTTTAGGTTAGCGAGCTTCATTCCAGCTTGTGTAAAGGTGAACGTCTTGAACACTCGCTATTATTAGTATTAGCAGTATTACATGAAAGAAAAGCTAGTAGGCTCTACTGTGAATTTCCAAAAATCAAAACAAGACTAAATAATCACTAAATTTTCATAAGGATTGCTTTCGGGAAATGAAGTGTTTTGGCAACAGCGGGCAGACGATGCTTCGGCGCTCGTTGTTCTAATGCATTTATTCATAGAGCAGATGGTGAGTGTACCTCTGTCTAATCTGAGTCAAAGACCATGGCATGCACTTGGTGATGAGGAACCAACAACTGTCAATCAAACTGCTCATCGAAATACTCTTTTAATTTCCAATACAGGACAAAAGTCAGCAAATTAATGTGCATGCGTTTCTACCCAATCTCTACATTATACTTAATACATAAATGATTCTATTAATACAAAATATAAAAATATGTGATACATCATTTACACATTATTTACTTTACATCCTTAACTTAGTGAATTTATTACTTCATTTATTCATATACACCTTGTTACTGAATAAACTGTGAATTTTCCCATAATAGAGACACACTGCAATGAAAAAGCGGTACCACACTAAAAACCGTGCTGGCTATCAACGGGTTAAACTAAGCTCAACTGCACATTGGCCCCATTGGTGGGGGTAAGCTTTGTATGAGATGCAATAGCCAGGGTTATCTATGAATATCAAAGGGAAAAACCATGCAAAAGCATGTGCGACACTGAAATTACTGCATATCACTCTAACGACCTCACGATACTGAAAAGCGTTGGACTAGGACTTGAAGTGAATTCTTATTGTGCAAAGGAGTGCCTCAGGGATTAATGTTAGGATATAATACAGTTCTTGCTTTTCCTGCGCTTGCGAGTATGTAACTGTCCACGGCCGCCCAAATGACCAGATCCTGTTAGTCCTGAAGTGTTGTATTTGTGCATTAAGTCCTCACTGGTCATATACCTCAAGTGGACTGGCTTGGGAATGGGCTCGCCCAAGAAATAGCCTTCATCCTCAGACTCGGATGACGAAGAGCAGGTGGAGCACCAGTCGTCATCGTAATCGTATTGATCCCAGGCATAGCGGCCCAGATGACGGTTTGGAGTGGGATTTTGGAGCGTGAGGTCAGAAGTCGTTCGAGGGCACGGCCTGAAGGCCTGCTGTCTTGACCTGCCACTCAAAGGGTCCCTTGGCCCACGTGGAGAAGGGAACCTATCGTAATCCTCACGGACTCGCGGCTGCGACCGTTCTGGAACAGGTGGACGCCTCTCGGCTGCCAGGTTGAGTGCATTTTCAGAGCGGGAACGTCTTGAACGGCGTGAGCGATGATGGTGCCTTCGTCGTGGCTCCTCCAATTCAACAGTGCGACGGTGAGTCCGTTCGCTCATGGGTGCCAAACGGGCATTGTTAGCGTTGCTAACCAAACTTGCTCTGTCCTCTTCCTGGTAGGTAAAGCCGGGTGGCAGGGCAGTGATTCCGGGGATTCCGGGCGATTCCTGTGTGTATGTTAGTGGATAATTCACCTGCACGGGTGGTTCCATCTCCAGGTAAGGCTGACCAGTGGTGAGGCTGCGGAGAGACTCTGAACTGTGGAACTGGACTGAAGAGTTGAGTGTGCCCATGTTGCTTTTCTCAGAGACGTTCATGCCCGAGTCTTTGCTCAGGTCGGGCATGGAGAAACGAGATAGGTGCTCCTGTCTCTTACCACCACCATCTGCAGACGTACCTACGTGCAAGAAAAGGAGATGTAATGTTCAATGTTAATTACTAGGAAACGTAAAAAAAAATGTATTTAAAAAAACTGTATTAAAAAAAAAATAACACTAGAAGGTGATACTGCATCTCATAAGTGAAATAGCTACATAAATGTGGAGCTATTTATGGAAATATTTCAATAATTCTGTTTTGTGTTCATGACACTATAAATACTTTACCGTTTACAAACAATATCACGCTAACATGACCTATCATGATATAGTGGATATAAAAAGTCTGTAGCATTCCATTAGTGTAGATACCTGTAGCGTTGGACAGTGCCAATGACTCCATGGACCCGCGAGGCGTTTGCTCCAGTGGAGTCAGCTGTTCGCTAAAGCTAAGTGCGCTGATGGGGTTCCGGCTGCGGCCCACCTGTGGCCCAACCTCCCTGTCCCGCTCCCTGTCCCTTTCTCTCTGGAACACATGCAGGCTGACTGAGCGCTTGTCCATAAAGCCGTTGGGTGGCAACTCGTTAAAGCTAGCCTGCGGTTTCAGCTTTTGCGGGTAATAGTCTTCTGGCTCTGTCTGGAACCAGTTCTCGTTAAAGGAATGTCCCTTCAGGGCAGATATGGGAGGTCTTTTAGATGGTGCCGGCTCTTTGAGCCGGTTGTCCTGAGGGTGACCAGGGGCAGGGTTGGGGGAATAGGACGCCCGGATGTTGCACTGACTCAGCAGCTGGAGCGGGGTGGGGGAGGATTCATTACGGCTTTCATAGTCATACATTTCATTCTGGTTCTTCCAGGATGGGGGCTCTCTGGACAGGCTGGGGGTTTGACTGGACAGGCTAAGGAGGTCCATCTGCAGGGACAGAGGGTCCACATCAGCAGAATAGCGGCCACTAGAACCCTTCCCACCACCTCCACCACCACCACTGCTAGTCTTGCTGGATTTGGAGCTTCGGCGAGCCTCACGGGTTCTGGCGTTTTGGAAGGCCGAGTCTGAGGAGTCCGAGCCATTGGCGTCCTCGCCCACGCTGCATGCCCGCGAGCAGAAGATCTGACCCTGTTTGGGCAAGAACGGCCGTCCAAGGAGGGACTTCTTGCAGCGGGCACAGCAGAAGCAGGTCTCAGTAGCATGCCAGTGCTGACCATCATATGTCATCTGGCCTTGGTCAATACCTGCAGCATGAAAAACAAACCAACATGAAAGTCAACAGTGGACAAGCCTTACTATAGAAATGTCCAAACTCTAATCTGTTCGGTCACCATGACAACTTCAGTTAGAATAACTATTACAGAATAAGAGTTCCTAAGTAAATCCTTGGGAGATGGAATCTGCCCTAGTAAACACCAGCTGGAAGCAAACAAACATAAGGTTGATCACACTTTAGTTTTGTTTTTACATCAATAGCTGTCTAGCCAACTAATACTGTTTAAACCTTATTTCTGATTATGTCTTTATGTTTCAGCTGCGTATGTATCAGCGATTGCTTCGTAACTGGCATAACAACTGATTATCGATGTCAACTGCCAAGTTTAGTAGCCTGTAACTGGAAATAAGATGCTGTAAGATATAATTCCTAAATTATGGTTTAGGTAAGATTTGCTTCAGTAATACAAATTTATGTAAAATTTGACCTTGAAATTGTTAGATAGGACTACAGATAGAACATTTTCTGTTGTATGGCTCCTTTCATTCAATATGACATTTGTGTTACTAAGTAGAACAGCAGATTTGAATTTGGTGAAAAGTTACTATATGCGTACAGCCTTGTTTTGCATAAAGACATTGCATTCTTTACATGTTTTTTTTTTCTTTGTTAAACAAAACAAATGTAAAAAGTCACTGTGTAACCAGCTTTGGCTGTAATTGCAGTCAAATAAAGCCCTATTTGAGCTGGGTTAGTTTCCAGAGGAGGTCCAGTAATGTAATCTGTGCATGATTTGACTTGTTGATTCAAACGGGATAAAGGATCTGTGTAATTTCCTCAAATAACTCCATGGACGTTCGTGTGGATATTCACGTCAGCATTATACGACAGATGCCACACTTCCAAACAACCAACAACAACCTTGTGCCCAACCTTGGGCACCAAAAAGAAAAAAAAAATGCGATACTGGACGAGGGAGAGGATTTTACATCTTGTTGTGAGGACACGTTATCACTGGCAATTCCAAATGACTGCATAATCATAGTGTACGGGAGGGAATATACACCAAGGGCCTTTTTCCATCACCTGGTTTTGTTATTACTGTGATGCTGATTCAAACAAGACTACTTTTCCAGAGGGAGCTCAGATTTCGGCAAATTATAGAAGATAATTCTCTCCAGAATTATTGCTTAACAGGCTTGTAAAACTATGAACACTGCAGATGAAAATCACGGATCTCTTCGGTCATCCCTCAAATTACAGCACCTCCTCATATAAAACTAATCCAGCTCAAACAGGGCATAATACAGTAAAGTGACAGTAATTCTTCTACACTTCTAAAAGTTAACTAACTCTATACAAATCAAGATCCATTACATCAAGTAGTAAAACAGAAGTAAAACGAGGGAAAGCACTTAAATCATTGATATGGAAATACAATAAAGTGCAAATCCAACTAAGTGCGATTAATTGCAGGTATACTTACATAAGTTCCCGATCCACGCAAATGGATTCAACTCAAATGCAAATCCCTCAGCTGTGATTTTTAATGAGCTATTATAACTCTTGAGTAACATAAGTGTAGAAAACAAGGCCTAAATATTAGGGTAAAGAAATACAGTCAAACTCCCTTGAGGTGTAGAAGTGTTTGGAGTAAACTGATTATGCTGTACGCCTTGCACTACACAAATACATTACATTTTAATTACAGCTCCACTTACATGGGCCAGGCGGCCTCAGTCTAATGGGCAACATCTGTTCGCCAAACGTTTTCCAAACGCTCTCCGTTTCTAATCAGTTTCCCTCGCGCTGTTTCGGCGTCCCGTACAGAAAATGATTGCAGCCTGAATTTGTCCTGAGTGACACGCCAAAACGCAGCTGGAACTGATGGCGGGGTGGAAACCAATGAGCCAACAAGGCGAGTTATTATGGGATGGAGTGCTGCCTTGTGACACGCTGGGGGCTAACAGAGTAATGGAAACACCAGGCGTTTTATGAATTATATCTGTAACAGCTTTTGTTTTCAGAAAAGCTGCAGCCGCTCTTGGAATGCCCCTAGACACAGTTTGTACATTTTCTAGTAGGAAAACGGACCATTCTTTATGAAGAATAAGCCCACTGTGGTGCTGGAGAGTCTGTGCTGAGTACATGTTTTCCTGTGGTGCTTCTCCTGAGCTACATTTCAGTCTTCGATTTTAGCCTAAAAGTTTTATGCTATTTGTGTTCCCGCCTTAATTTTAGTTTTTTTTCCTGGTTTGGAATATGATATCAGGAGTTTTAAAAGGGGGATGCAATCGATTTGTCAAATATGTTCCGCTAAATTCAATGGTTAAACAAAAGTAAACAAAGTCATGCAGTGTGGTTTAAAATGAAATGCTCAGTTCGAGTGAAACATATCGAGTCAGAATTGCGCACAGTGGTGGTGATAGGAACCAGATGTCTGAAGAGTTTAATGCCTCTGAAAGTGACATCACATTAAGTTATTAGATGAAAAGGTTATGAATACATTGCTTTACTTTTTATTTTTTTACACTAGCATTTGGCCTCAAACATATATTTTCAACCCAATAATTATTTTTTCAGATTTAGCACTCGTATCTTTATCAATGTTACATACAAAAAACTCAGAAGACCCATGTAGGTTGTTTTGGATAGTAAATAAAATGGCTATATTTGTGTTGTATTGCAACACCTGGTTCCCATCACCACCACTGAATGACTTACATCTCAACAATTGAATTATGACACAATTTCAAAAAATCAGTGGAATTCCCCTTAAAAACACCGGTTTCCTTGATGTATTTAGCATTTTTGTTATTTTGTTACTGGCACCATTACAATTAAGGCTCATTTCACTCAGATACTTTAGATTTGTATGGGTTTGTACACTTTAAAGGGGGGAATTGCACCAATTTTCCCAAGTTCAGCATAATTAAATTTTAATTAAGAACAGTGTTGGTGATAGGAACCAGACGTCTGAAGAGTTTAATACCTCTAAAAGCTCCCTCACAAAAAGTTATTACATGAAATGGTTATGAATATGCTGCATGATACAACTGCTACTTCTGATCGTTCAGTGTTCTAGAAGTACTTTATCACAATAATAACTGTGCTACTGCTCATCCCTGGCCTCTCCTCCCTCTTTCAGCTTTTCACCCTCACTGGCCTACTTAAAAGCAAGAAGGAGGTCAGTTGTCTCACAGGTGTCCCGTCTCCACAGCCCTCTTTCTACAGAAGACTGAATGAGGGAGATTTGTCTTGCTTGGCCTGGGCCAGTGGGCCAGTGAGGCAGAGCTGTGAGGATGTTCAGCTGGCAGTGATGTATGGGGCTCTTACCGATATGTTCTCCGCAGGAGTCGCAATATTCCGCGTAGAGCGACTCGAAACAGCTGCAGCAGTACGGCCGGCCCTCCTTCATGATGTAGCGCTGACCGCCCAAAACCGTCTCGCACTCAAAACAGCAGAAGTGTTTCATGTGCCAGTGCCTGCCTTCTGCTTCGGTACACTCATCCGCAAAGATGATCTGAGGGGAGAGAGAGCGAGAGGGTGAGGAAGGGGGTGTTTTTACAATCTCCTTTACTGTCGAAGACACAAGAAAAATGCTTTTTGTTAAATTCTATGAAGACACATTATACTTCTTTTGCTGTAAGATACACACAAATGCCGCTGTCCGAGAGAGAGGAGGTAAGCATGTTGATATTACGGTATTATTATAGAGATATACTTAAATTTAGTCACAAATGGCATTTTTAGTTCTTTGCAAAGATAAAAACAGGCGGAAAAAAGATGAACTAAGTCTATAAAACCTAAAAGGCCAGTCAAACTAGCACTTATCAGTGAAATTTTGCCATCAAAACTATATTTATTTCAATGGAATTTGCCAGGCTGAGTGATTTCCCGTCCCAAACTTCTAGGGCGAATAAATTTCATGTGAAAATTTTGCACTGATTTCAAGTTTGACTCAAAATTTCGACCAACAGCGCTTTGGCTGCGCTGACCTTTGAAGCGGCGACCTTTCACAGAAGCTCCAAAATGGAGGAAATGCTCATTTTTTGGCAGCGTATAAACACGAAACTAAACATTTCTTCCTTACAGCCTATAAATAAAGACACGAAAGAAAGAGCGCATGATGTGAAGTCAGTAGGGAGACTGTATCTTCTATACATTATTATTATTAAACTTTTGTGGTTTTGATGCTTGTGGTAGATGAGTTAGCCAGCATACTGTAATGTTAGCTCCATGGCTATAAACAGCTGCACAAAAGTCACAGCCACTGTCGCTAACCACTGCAGTTATCTACAGCTCAGTGCGCAGCGCTGTACTATAGCTATCTGACGTTTATGTTCACTTTTGTGTTTTTATTGTTTACAGTAGGCAAGTTAGCCAGCTAAATGCTATGTTAGCTCCTTAGCTACATACAAAATCACCTCACTACTGCCAACCACAGCAGTGATTTGCATTTTTCTTGCTATATATCAGTGCTCAGCATTATACTCTCCTGAGTATTTCATTTTTTCACTTTTGTGTCATTATTGTTGACAGTCAGTTAGCTAACCTGCTGTACCAACAATGAGGATGATTTTCTTTCAGTTCTATTAAAATCTACTTTGTTAAAACTAAAAGTGTAACAGAAAAAAAGGTTTTTGTTTTTTGCTTATTGTGTCTTGAATTTTGCTTTCAGTTTCAACCAAGCATTTACATTTCAGTGCATCACTACATAATATTACTACTACAGTTATATCTATAATTAAATACACAACCATAATAATACTGTGTATACACCGATCAGACATAACATTATGACCACCTCCTTGTTTCTACGCTCACTGTCCATTTTATCAGCTCCACTTACTATATAGGTGCACTTTGTAGTTCTACAGTTACAGACTGTAGTCCATCTGTTTCTCTGCATGCTTTGTTAGCCCCCTTTTCCCCTGTTCTTCAATGGTCAGGACCCCCTGGACTCTCACATAGCAGGTACTATTTGGGTGGTGGATCATTCTCAGCACTGCAGTAACACTGACGTGGTGGTGGTGTGTTAGTGTGTGTTGTGCTGGTCTGGATCAGACACAGCAGTGCTGCTGGAGTTTTTAAACACTGTGTCCACTCACTGTCCACTCTATTGGACACTCCTACCTTGTCAGTCCACCTTGTAGATGTAAAGTCAGAGACAGTAGCTCATCTGCTGCTGCACAGTTTGTGTTGGTCATCCTCTAGTCCTTCATCAGTGGTCACAGGACGCTGCCCACAGGATGCTGTTGGCTGGATATTTTTGGTTGGTGGACTATTCTCAGTCCAGCAGTGACACTGAGGTGTTTAAAAACTCCAGCAGCACTGCTGTATCTGATCCACTCAGACCAGCGCAACACACACTAACATACAACCACCACGTCAGTGTTACTGCAGTGCTGAGAATGATCCACCACCCAAATAGTACCTGCTCTGTGAGGGTCCATGGGGGTCCTGACCACTGAAGAACAGGGTAAAAGGGGGCTAACAAAGCATGCATAGAAACAGATGGACTACAGTCTGTAATTGTAGAACTACAAAGTGCACCTATATAGTAAGTGGAGCTGATAAAATGGACAATGAGCGTAGAAACAAGGAGGTGGTCATAATGTTATGCCTGATCGGTGTATATATTGTCACTGTTGCAACAAAAAAATATTTTTGTGAACAAAAAGCCATTTTGAACTATTTCTACTGATCCAATCATCATGAAATATTCATCCAATGTCAAGCGCAGCTGACAGGTGTAAATAAAAAAAAAATGTTACACCTGTACATTACATTTTAATGTGGTTTCAACATTACAGTGTAATACTGTCATGCCTGTAAAGCTTCTTGCTTTAAGTGTTGGGGAGCAAGAGAGTGAGTGAGCGAGAGAGAGCGAGAGAGACAGACAAAGGGAGAGAGAAAGAGACAGACAAAGAGAGAGACAGAGTGACAGAGAGAGTGATGGATGGATGCATCACTGAATCATTGACTAGATGCTGAAAGGAGACGTGCCCACCCCCCTCCACAACCCCACTTAAAGGAACAGCTCAAACATGCTAGCATGGCTAAAAATGGAAGCTGGTAGCCACATTAGCATGACCGCATTTGCATAATGCTAATTGGTGGCTATTCATTTTTGTTTACTGTTGGCAGCATTAGCTTGTCTCACTGAACTATTCCTTTAAAAAAGAACAAAGACAATACATCCCAATGGACGCAGTCACTGTAGTCTTAGACCTGAGCTACTGCACTAAAAAGGCATAAATGATCTACATAACAACGGATAACAGGATGTTCTCAACAAAGTAAATATGGCAATACCTGTACTATGCAATAAATATTTCAATAATCTACTCAACACAAAGCACAATGTCTTCTATGGTGTACTAAATATTGAATACTGCAGGTACCACGTCCAAAACAAAGGCAGTTACAATTCAGGACAAAGGGCTTCGTATCTGAATTATGCATGAAAGCTTTTAATTTAACACTGTCATTTATCAAAGTCAGTCTTTACAGCTCATAATCTCTGTGTTTAAAAATGCATGTACTACAGAGTGTTTGCCATGTTATAATTCATGTTCATCATACAGTCATGCAGGTTCTGAAAACATACTAACACCCTATCATTACTGATGGGTTTAAAGAGCATTACTGTTGTTAACACAGTTGCTAATGCACCTTTTCAATGTGTAGTGAACATGGACACTGTTCATACAATAATCCAGTAACTGCAAGGCTTCCCAATCTCCAAGCAATTTCCAGTCTCAGCTCCACTGGTTTGCTTTTCCCCTCTTTAACAATCCTGACTCAACTCATCAACTGCTTACCAAACCCTTGAAAAGCTGAACTGAATATATTAAAATAGGAAAAATAGAAAATAGTGCAGGAACGATGGTTTCGAGGACTGAGACTGGGGACACTACACTCACTAATGCACTGCATATAGAGTACACAAGGTACTAGGGATGGGACAGTTACTGTTTTAATGATACACTGCAGTACAGAACCCAATACTAACCATATCATTCCAAATTTACTGATTAACATGTCGCTGCTGTCAGAACAAAATCTCAGAAACCTGAAAAGTTTTTTTTAGTTTTTGACATGATTTGAAAATGCCTGATGTCCTTTATATTGTGGGTAAATTTCACGATGAATGGACCAAAAGAAATGACCAAAATTACTTGGGGAAAAAGTCTGGTTCCATTGACTTACATTAAAAGTAAAGCATGTTTTTTCCTTCTCCTGGAAAGTTATTTTGGAGATACGAGGTTTTGTTTGGACAGAAGCGACATATTTTGAAAGTAATCAGCCTACTGCTACAGCTTCCTTACGAACCATCCAGCAGGACACAACATGTTTAGATACAATCTGAACAGTAAACAGTAGCCATGTCGGTGATAATTTCAGATTTACTAAAACCGAAGTTGATTTACTTAACCTCTTACCAAGCCATGGTGGGCTCAAAGTTACCAAGCCATGGTGGGCTCAAAGTTTTATTACACACTTCTGTAACTTATGAAAAGCTGTAGTTAATGAATAACAAGCCCTAGTATGTAAATGTTAAGGGGTTAAATTGCAGCAGTTGAGAAATGCAAGAGGTTATGTCATGAAATGATGGTGTATTAGTGCTTTATAAACATTTTTTTTTAGATATAACGATACCGAAAGCCATTGGTCACTAATATCCTGATATCAGTGACCATTGGCAATGATAGACTGTGCAGCGATAGAGCCGAAACTTCTTTTTTCTTCTCAGTTAGGTCAACAATAAAGTTTAAGCTAAGCTTACCCAAAAAAAGGGAGAACAGTTGCCTACTTGTAAGCACAAATTAGGAAAACAGATAGCTGTGCCACTTTGGAGCTGTGAAAGTTCACAAAGAAATAATGAAAACATATCAAAATGTGAAATAATGCAAACTAAAAAAAGAATTCTAAAATTTTGTGGCTCCAAGTTGTGCCACTGTCTAACTGCTCAGTCATCAGGAGATCATGAGTTCCCAGCGATGCCACAGCCCTCTATTATCAGGCATCTGAGAAGCAGCATTCAGTTCTCAACAACCCCCTTCTCACTGTGCAACAGGGTGGTCTTAACCTGAAGGTGGAAATTAGCATTGAGGACTGAAGTGAGTAAACTAATTAAAAACCCTGCAACGAAATCTAAGTATTTTCAGCTCATAGTGAATTTGTACATTCAATATTTTGAAGTTCAACTTAAACTGCACTGTTGACCTGAAACACAGTTCAAATAAATGAGAATTAGGAGAAATTTTGACCAAGTTAACAGCCAGATAATTGTTGTGAATAATTTTTGTGAACTCGTTTTTAATACTGTATGTATGTGATGCTCTTACCTCGTCGCAGGCTGAACAGCGTGGTTTCAGCCTCTCGGCGTGATGTCGGCCGCAGTAGATCTTTCCATCCTGGTAGAAGTAGATCAGATCCACCAGCAGCTCATCACAAATACTGCACACGAAACACTGAGGGTGCCAACACACACCATGACCCGCCCGAGACGCAAACACGGCAATGTCGCCACCGTTAATCTGACCACCGCACTGAGAGAGAAAGAAACAGAGAAGGAAGATGAATTTATGAGAAATCAATACAGTGAGATTTTAACAATGAGAGTAACCAATTAAAGAAGATTCAGAATCCACTTGGTATGATTTAAAGAAGTAACATGTTATTTTCCACCATAAATTACCTACAAAGGCTCAAATTGTTAAACTGTCTGGTGAAACACAGTTGATTATTAACAGTGTTAGGGTTAGGATTAGGACCAGAGTTGGGTAGGTTCAGATTTTGGGTTAAGATTAAGATTAGCATTAGAGTGAGTAAAGTTTAGGTTTAAGGTTTAAGTTAAAGACAAAGTGAGCATCTACAATACATCTACAGTGAACTAATAAAAAATAAATAATTATATGTACTTCATCTAAATTTGCCACATTTCCGTTCATTCAAACAGAGTAGAACAAGCATGTTTCCTTAACATAAAAAATCTGAGCATTTCAGTGTTATTTGTTTGGTTTTCACAGAATGGAATTTTCTTTGGACCAAAATAAATAAAAATAATGTTGACACAAGTGGATCGAGCACCCGCTACATTAAGCCTGATCCTGTTCTGATCGTGTTTGTTTCCTGAGCTTTCCTGAGTTATGCCACTGTCACGAAGCTTACATAAACAGTCTACACCCCATTTAGTCCCCAATTTAGTCCTCTCCAATTCCACCTGCTAGTTAGGACTCCCCCAGGCACACGATACTACCAACGCTAGGAGAGCTGTGAAACGCCACCGAATCATTTCAAAATGCCGCTCACGCAACGTCACTGGACAGCCGAACGCGCTTGGAGGAGAACACTAACTGCCAGTTCTTATTACGTCAGCTAAGGCTACGTTCACACAGCAGGTAAAAGTGGCCCAAATCCGATCTTTTTCTTCATATGTGATGTGTGTCTGTGTGTCAGTGTGAACAGCAAAAACACACTGAATGTGACATTTTCAATTCTGATTTGAGATGCTTTCATATGTGGTACTGAAATCTGATACGTATCCGATCTGCGGCAATGCGACTCAGTCTGAACAGCCAAATCGGAATTCATGCAGATTTTTTGTCAACCCAACTGGACATTCGTTATAATTTCGCACTGTTCAGACGTCATAAACATTTGGGGTGATATTTCTGTACAAAAATTAGAAGAGACTCATCCGAAACCCTCCGCGTTCAAAAAGATTTCGATAGAAATGGCCGAACGCGGTCGGAGGAGAACGAGGCTGGAGCATCAAAGAACAGTTAAAAGTCCGAAAGCAAAGTTTAAAAAATCCGAGGACATGAGCCAAAGAAGTGACCGTGGCCGAATAACGTGCACTTTTAACAGTGAGCTTGAAGAGATTCTGGGTGATGAGCCCAGCTGTGAGTCAGTGAAGTTTCATGATGGCTCCTGTGACGCTGGCGAAGATGAAACTGAAAGCTTCGGAGTGACTGCCGTTTGTTGGACGTCATGATTGTTCACCTCTGGACGAGCCACGTGAAGCAACATGAAGCACTGTTCTTTTGCGCATACAGGTCGGTTTAGGAGCTGATCTGTTCAGACTGATGTCGCATACAAGACACATTTGAAAGATATTATGAACAGCCAAACAAAAAAATCGAATTTGGTGAGAAAATCGAATTTGGGCTACTTTTATCTGCTGTGTGAACGTAGCCTAACAGATGCCTGCGCTGACTAGCATTGCACTGAGTGATGGGGGGGAGAAGAGAGGCCATTCTACCCACCCACTGTAGCAATGTTTACACACTACAAAGTTTTTTACTTTAAAAAGTGAGGACAATTTATGATATGGGCTCTTTAAGAGTACTCAGATCAGGTCCCAGGGCAATTAAACCGGATCGAGCCACCTCTTGTCGACAGTAGCTAGGTTGGTTCATGTATTGAGTGTATTACAAACAACATAAGAGGGCTAGATATCCACTCTGCTGTTCTTACAGTGAATTGTAAAAAGAGTTAAGTGAGATCAGCAGTACAGAATGAATCTGCTCCACAGTTGTAGAGGTGAGATAAACACAATAAATGAGCTGATTACAGAGCTAACAAGAAATAAAGTCTGATAAGCTGCGACAGCTGAGGGTAGAACAGTGAAAACGCAGCGCGTGACGCGGATCAGGGATCAAGAAAACCACTGAAATAACAATCTGACACATAGTCATAAATTATTCCAGCTCAGTGAAATCATCCATCGCAGTGACATATAGAGGTCAGCGGTTGGGTGGGGGGATTAGATCAATAGTGTTATCTGAGGACAGGCAGGGAGAGTGAACCCCTCCTATCAGAGTCCATCTGATAACAGTGACGAGAGGACAGCTATAAACCTCACAGTACGGTTTTTAGGTCTCTCTGCGGCAGAACACAGGGCAGTAAACATGAGATTAACAGTCACTCTCTTAAACTCTCATTCGTCATCTCATCCAGGAAGAATCAGCTCATGTTTTTTAACGTCACTTTGATCCCTCCTGGTTCTCCCATGGTGTTTATGTCTTGAAACATTTCTTATGTTCTGTTTCATTATTTCTCGCTTGTTCACCGAAACAACTGAAGAACGTCTTTTTGTGTGTGTTTGTGAGTAAAAGAGGGGATTCTTTACAAACACTTCATAAAAAGGCCCCTTTAAATGGAAACTTAATAATTATGTAATACTTTGTTAACCATTATGATTGTTAATGATAATTTTTAATTGTTTGCTACCATTTGAATTACTCATCATTCACATACAAATAACTAAAGGCTGTTTATAGATGTAATATATTTAAGTGATAAGTAAGACAACATGTCTTTATAAATACATTAAAGTTATGCCTTTATAACAGGTCCAATTAATGCTTTTCAGTGTTTAGGAAAGTATATATTAACCACTTAAAATGCTTAACTAAGCATTTACGAGGAATTCCAAATATCTTTGAACATCTCTGCATAATTCAGTGATTGAGATGTAAACAAAGTCATTCAGAGTGGTTTGATGTGAAATGCTTCACTGCAGAGAAACTTTAAAACTCAGACTTCTGTGCTAGTGATAAGAACCAGGGGTTGCAATGTCCAAAACACACATATATCCATCTTATTTACTATCCAAAATCACCAGTGAACTTGTGTCTGTATTAAAAAACAAAAAAAAAAATCATACATTTTAGACCAAAACTAACTCTCAAAACAATGTTTCATTAATAGCATCAAGCAGCATATTCATAACCATTTCATGTTATAACCTTCTGTGCGGGATCTTTTTGAGGCAGTAGTTAATAACTACTTTAGACATAAGACAAAATTATTATTTTGAACGCTTAATATTTCAAGTTACAGTTATTTCGAGTTATGAGTATTGAATAACAAAATCTTTAATCACAAACTACAGTCAATGATTGCATTTCTACAATTCAGAGTAATCAAGGATTATTCATGTCACTAAATATTAATTCAAATGGTTTCATTTATTAATGCATAAGTAATTATTATGTAATCATTAACAGTCATTAACAAAGTAGCAGATTAACAGTAAGTTGCTGTTGATTAGGGCCTATTACTGATATTTTACTATGATTTTAATTTAGTAAAAGTTATTGTTTTACATAGTCTCTTTTTGCTGAAAAAAAACATCCCTTATATTTTTGCCTTGTTTTTTGTCATTTCTCGATATCAAAATAAACAGAAAAAGGTAGAAGTGCAGACTTAAACCCAGCAATATAGAATACAAAGAGCAACTAAACTGAACTCATCACATAATCACATCTGTATTCAGTCATGCATTCAGTTGACTAGTTAGCAATAATTATATCATGTAAATGAAACGGATGACAAAATGGCAATAAAGCTGAAAACAAAATAGATATGGAGGTTACGGAAATATGTCAGTGGTCAGCAGCCATCTGTGCATGACGAGCAGCAGAAGGGGCTGAGGGGCACCAGGTGGGCTTAGATGTCTAAATCCAGCTTACACTCAGTTTTAATTCACTTACTGTAAAAGTTGGGCTTAAGTTGGGAAATCTTACTAACAGCAGGGCTAAAAGAGAAACCTGCTTTGTTTCGTCAGTAACCTTGTCTTCTCCTATCTGTCTTTGTCAAGGTCTCTCTCTGTACAAGTGTTAGAGTGAATATACAACATTTAACCCTTTAGTTTTGTTATAGTTGCTATGCAGAATAATGTAATAGCAAAGTTACATAATGATTTACATTTAATTTACAGTCTGCAATTCCATCTTTTTTCTATTTGTTTTAATGTTAAGCAACAATTCATCAAATTCAAATCACAATATAACACATCTCCTCATCTACTTACAAGAACAAATGCTGGATTGGTTGAAAATTTAGAATCTATACATTTTGACTTTCTCCACTTGTTTCAATGCTTTTCCTATAATCAGTCACCACTACTGTGTCTAAGGATTAAAAAACAGACCACTGTGTTGTTCGCTGGCCTGAAACGGTGACCTTGAAAGTGCAGAACCAGGCAGATGTTGGTGTATACAGCCCTGGTTGTACCTGTTCACAGATGGCTCCAGTCATGGTGACGGGGAATGGGCGGACATTTCCTCGGCCCAGGTTCTCTCTCTTCCTCTGATTACTGAACAGCTTAAGCTCCCTCTTCTCCTCATCGTCCAGAGAGTTGCAGTACCGCACCTGCAACCACAGGAGACACTCAATGACCATGCGCACACATATCCCAAACTTACACGTCTTCAGAGTTTTTATATGTAATGTCAATAATGATAAAATAGTGGAAATCCTGGAAAGAACATTTTCTTTGGGGACCATTTTGCTAATAACATCTTGCATGTACCTCACTGCCATCAATGGATTTAAAATAATCCAAAAATTAAGCTAAAATTTAATATTAGACCAAAATTTGATCTCAAAACTATTGTTAAACAACATCTTGGGCAGTGTATTCAAGTATTTTGTGCAATAAACTTTTGTGAGGGAGCTTTCAGAGGCAGCAAATGCTTCGGACATCTCATTTCTACCACCACTGTGAATGATTCTGACTCTAGCATTTCACATTAAACTACTCTTAACGACTTAGTTTACTTAACCATTTAATTATGCTGAAATTTTGAAAATTTGGTGGAATTCCCCTTCAATACTATTTTTCCACCCCTAGCGTTTATTATATAATATGCGAGTGAAAACACACACTACCTTACTTGGGCAAAACATGCTCTCTTATCTCAAGCCTGGTGGTCTCACCTCATTGTCGTGGGGGGGCAGCTGGTGCAGGAGCTGTTTGATACGGTGTTTCTCTCCAGGGCTGTTCACATATGGCACCTTCTCCTCCGGGAGAGAGCTGTAATACTGATGCACCTGCGGTTTAACACACACACACACACACACACACACACACACACACACTGAGTCACACAACACCACTGTCCATTACACCGAGCAATTAAACACCGTTACAATACTCTCATATTGCTTCACGCATGCCATTAGGCCTCCTAATTGGCTGCCAAAAGCTCTGCAATTATCATCTACAAAGCACTACGTTTTATCGACAATTATAAAACACGAACCGTCCTTCCACATAAACTGAGGCATCGCTGAAAGCATTAATTACACTTACACAAAGCACTGCTATAAAACAAAGCAATAACTCCCACAGCAGCTCTGCAAATGCACCAATTATTCACCGCTGCCCTACAAGCTAATCAAACATTAAACTGAGAAAATCTAACAGTTATTATATACAAATATGTTTTGTTTTTGTTACACGAGCAAGACTATTCATTTCAATGCAGTGCTGTCATGATTGCTCCTTTAAAGAGCCCATTTTCTACATACTTCTAGATTTTTACTTTCCCCCCCTGAAGTCTGTTTATGATGTTTGTGTGGGTTTATGTACTAAAAACAACTCCAATGAATTTTACATCACTATTTTCCAACCTCTCTTTATACTTTAGAATTAAACTGTTGATGTTACTGTCATATGATATGAAGTTGTATATATATTTTGAATCTGGATTCTTACAAAAATGCACATCATATTCTTTCTAGTAAGATTTTTTCATAATAATTTTGAAAGCCTGATTTGTCATATATATATATATATATATATATATATATATATATATATATATATATAATATTTTAAAAACATGCTTTTGAAAAAAAAAGCTTGCCATCTCACTGATCCACACAGTCGCATGCAAAAGTTTGGGTCCCTGTGGTCAAATGTTTTATTAATTTTCCTAAGTGAAAATTCTCACATTCTCTACACATTTTAATGCATAATTTGTTTTTTTTGCTGAATTTAACATATTAGCAAAAGTAAAGCATAAATTGTGGCCTGTGTAAAGGTTATGGCACATCTTGCTTTTTATGGTTTTCCAGTATGTTAAACTCTGCAAGTAAACAGAAACTGTGCACCAAAACAAGTAGAAGATGCCATATTTAAGTTCATTCTCTATTGAAGATGTGATAACTTTCAATTTAAACTAACAAAACATGTAATTTGACCAAACCTCTGCATACGACTGTATATATTTTGAATGAAGCCTTTTAAAGGCCTTTAGTTCAGATTCTCCCCACAGAACTCTGGACTCTCTGGAAGGTGTTGCATGGTTTGTTTGTTGATTTGTATTTTCACATTTTAAAACAAAATATCACTCGATTGCTCAATTACTAATATCATTGATAGTAACAGCCTTATTTCAGTGCTGGAGTTAAACAAACAGGATCAAATTTCAGTTTTCAGTTCCTTGACAAGGTTAAAATGTTGCACTACTGAACAATGATTAGCTAAAGTTAAATGGTTTTGCCACCTTGTTGTAAGAACCTTTAACATAAAAGCACCATCCTATTCTCTCCCTTTTCTTATTAACCCTTCCCCCACCTTAGTGCTTTCAAACACACACACACACACACACACACACACAGAGCTGTAACAGTCAGGGTGATTTATAGACGAGCAATGTAAAGTTAATGGAATCTGCCCTTTCACATCCACAGTCGTGCTGATGGAGGCTTCTTTATCTGCAGACTACATGAGTGTGTGTGTGAGTGTGTGTGTGTGTCTGAGTGTGTTTGTGCATATTTATCTGTAAAGCTCAGCCCGATTCTAATTACAGTAATTAACCACATTACTAAGATATGCGCTCCATCTTTTTGCGGCTAAATGACAGGAACATAATCAGCAGTTTTGTTGCTCGCATCATAATAGCCTTCTTTACAATGACCCCTTCATTTTATAATGGGTGGAATAAAGACAACACGGCATTAAGTAATGAGATGGTAATAGTATTCAATTAATGAATCAACGTGATTTTCTGAACCCTAAGTTACCTATCTGCATTAACATATATAGAGAGGGGTTCTCTTTGTCCACTTAAACCTGCCACTGCTGTAGTTAGTGAGAGGAGCAATATGGCAAAAATATAACATCATGATAAGTATTACGAGTTTTTTTTAAGTTTGATCAGTAGGAACAGAGGATTATTCTCACAAAACCACCTTAAAACATGTTTACAAAATATTCTAAGAACCACTCAGATAAATAATACTAACAAAACAATACAGCCATATGTCCACGTTGGTCAGTAAAATGGATCAGCATGTTGAACTAGAACTTGCTGTGTTATACTGTGTTTCCTATCACTGTATAAAAGAAGCTTATGCTGCCTTTATTGTTGGATGCACTGACAGTGCCTAAGAGAGCCTGTGCACATCTTCAGAATACAAGTCATATCGCTATGGCAACACTTACTGTTAATTTGTAGCAGCAAAAGTGGCTGAAGTTTGAAGTATGTTCATTCATACTGTTGCAGTTTGGCAAAAACTTTTTTTATTTTACTTTTTTGGCAAAAAATATAAAATCATGATATAAGGTAAGTATCATGAGTTTTTGTGAGGTTTGATAAGTTGGAACAAGGAGAAAAAAAGCCTCAGCAGGATCAGCAGGATCATTCTCACAAAGCTGCTTCAAAACAATGCTATAAATTTGAGTGTTATAAGCATCACACAGATAAACAATATTCATATAATTCAGTAAATCAACTGGAGCTCTATGATACAGCAAAAAGTTCATATTTCTATTTTAAAGTTTTTTGGCATTATTTACCCCAATTCTGATTACCGACGTTTATCATTGTTTCACTTTTTTACTCATATCTCTTTAATGTTTCCCTTGTATGGTAACTGTATGGAAATGAACCAAAACAACAATATGTTTTGTGGCACAAATAAAAAGTAAAACCTCAATGATTATCAATGAGTTGCAGTAATAGATAAAATTGGAAAAGTGCTATATATTGCAAAACATATGAAAAATGGTATAGAAGAGAAAAGCTATTATAGAGAGATTTTATTCCTGGTCATTTTTCCCCCTCTCTTGTGAAGTTACCATTTTGGAGATATGACAATATATTTTCTTGCTCAAAATGGGACACAGCCAGAATGACAATCTTCTGATTAACAGCTTTGTTAGATCATGATCTATACATTTCACTATAAACGCAACAGCAGCATTGAGAACTCACATTATTAAAGGAGAAGAGTAGATTAAAATGCAGAAATATGTGATCTTCACTTTGGTATTAAAGATTAAAGGGTCACAAACTGCATTGAAAAACAACAATGTGAGAGGGCCACGACTATCCAGACCACCTGACCGCCCACCCTATTATAGGGGCTTAAATGGCTAATGACTTAATCTGATATAGCACTGGGCTCCATCTGCCCCAGCAGCCCTCCGCACACTATATACAACCTTCTCATAAACCCCAGCAGAATGGATGCTGAGGCATGATTTATAACAGTCACAGATAAAAGCTCATTGAGGCGGCACTGAAAGCTGAGAATATCAATGCACTGTGCATAGCGCCATGTTAAAGTGACAGTCTGGCCGAAAAAAACACTCCTTTTTACAAATGCAGGTAGTTAATTAAGTCTGGAATCTGTGTCTTTGGTTTTGCACTGGAGTTATGACACTATGACTAGCTATCAAGTAATGGATTCTATTATCAAAAGTACAAGATTTTTTCAACTACTGCTACTATTTATAACTACCTTCGTTAGTTTTTGAACATAAATAGACCGCAATATACTGCACAGGTAAAACAGTAATATCAGTCACTTTTAAAGAAAACTTACAGCTCATTTTTTTAACATTTCTGCAAAATTCTATCCTTGAGATGTGATTCAGAGTGGTTTGGTATGAAATGGTTCATTGTAGAGAAACATACAAGATATCAGATATCATTACAGTGGTTTTAGAAGGGACCAGGGGTTGTGATGTTTATTATGCAAACTGACCAATCAATGTGTCCGAGTTCTTATATGTAATGCTGACTATCAGCATTACATATAAGAACTCAAAAAAGTATATGTTTTTTTTTTTGGGAACTATTTTGCCCCAAAACGCCTTGTATGTACCTCTCCACCCTAAAGGGACAAAAAAAGACGTTTTAGCCCAAAACCTTACTGTAAAATGACGTATCAGGCAATGTATTCATTAACATCATGTGTAATACAGGACATCAGTTTCAGAAGCATTAAACTCGTTAGACGTCTGGTTTCCATCACCACCACTGTGAATTAGGACTGAGTAAGTTTCAAACCACTCTGAATGACGTAAACTCTTAATGATTTACTTACACAGAACTTTTGAAAGAATGGTGGAATTCCCCTCCAAGCCTCCATTTTGTCCTTTCTTTGCCCATCCTTATAGATAACAGTACGCCATAGTGTCAGAAACCACATAAGTGAGTCTGTTTGAGATTACTCAACAACTCAACACAGTTTGAGGCAAGATTTGATGATTTAGGCATGATGCTAATAAGTAGGGCGTAAAGGGCCCATATCATAGAAAATAGACTTTTCCTCACTTTTCTGAAATACTAGAGTTTAATGTAGTGTGCAAACACCGTTTTACCAAAGCTTTCACTTCTCAGTCTGTCCAGTCCATACATGGAAATTAAGCAAGTTTTTCAGTCTGTTTTGAATTCACTGTTTTTAATGTCACAAAAAAAAACGCTTTTTGAGTGAGGCACAATACAGGGTACAACAGGGGTCATTTACATGTATCTTAAAGTCGCAGTAACAGGCTGTGTAATTCAGGCTGAAAGGTGGTCATGTAAAAATGAATTATAACCATTTTTGGTACAATGTAACAAAGTAAAATGATACAAAATGCAAGAAAAATGTTGGATATGGATTCAGTGCAAAAACTAAATAAGCATGCTGGGATGGCAAGCATGCCTTGGCTAACTGACCACATTCGGGGTGAGGCGATAACTGTATAAATTTGTTTTTAATGACCAACTATCACTTTAATCATGCTCCAACATGAATAGATGAAATACAGA